ATATCCGATCTACTGGTAATCTGGAAACCTACCCAAAAAAGGGAAAAAGTAATGTTCCAGATTGCTATAACAAATATAAATTGACATTGTTAACAATTTCACCACAGAAATATTATATGAAAAGGGCCTAGACCTCCCTAAAATTTACCTCTGACCTGCCACACAAGGGCACTTGTTACGGTGGGGCTTAGTTATTAGTGAGTTGAGACTATACGCAGCACTATCATAACTTGGGTTCGAGTCCCTCATTCCGGCCTCTGTGACAACACATTTTTGGAAGCAAGGCTCTGTTAAGGTCAATGTAAACGTCAGGTAAAGCCTAATGGAGAAAAAGATAACGTTGTTAGTGAGATTTTCATTTAGTATGAAAGTGCATACAAAATATATTCGTAGGCTGATCTCATCCCAAGGCGACGGCTGATTCCCGTAGAACTGCAGCCGTTTGGCTTTAATACGATGTCCAGGTTTGCCCAGTGAACGAGGCATCATCGTTTCGCCCAAAACGAGTAAGGATGTCTCGTGGACAGCGTCAAACGGAAGGTAGTACTAAAGCCAGACGACTGCAATACAACGGAAATCAGCCGTTGTCTTCTGGTGAGTTCGACTTCCGAATCTCTTCTTCTTGCACTTTGATACGAAATGAAAGTCGCCCTAACAATCGGTTGAATATATCTCATTCAAGGGTTACTGACAACCTCAAAACCTGGTTATATCTAAAGCAGACAGTAAGTCGGCCCACTGGAGAGTCAGAACCACTTACAGACTGATTAAAGTACAGATGAAGAGACAGAAATTCTAATATAGACTTTCCTTTATATAGAAAGTAGCAAAGAAATAATAATGTATATGGAGACAAATAAGACTAAATAATTTAATGCATTTCATGCATCGTGTCTTCCACTCACCCGTGAATCTGTAGCATGTGATTTCTTTTCTCTTCTTATCTCGAAGATCGCTTCATCTCGTTCTTTGCGCATGATTGACAACTCTCTACGCAATCGGTCTACTTCATTTCGTCTGCCCCAAGTTCCGGTCTCGCTGCCAGTGCCAATGGAAGTGCTGTCATCTCCGGCTCCTCGGACTGACTCAACTGTCGTCTTCAAGGCTTGTACCTCTTGTTCCTTCTCATAAAGCCTACAAGATAGTGCAAACGTTTGTTTTGGATTCTTCACCAAATTCCAGTGCTTTCATACGGTATAATCGACGAAACGTTACATTTTGATATCCTAAGGGTATAAAGTCTATTAATTATAATATCTATCACTAGTTATGTATCACAAGCAATACAAACATGTAATACATTGGACATAGATTAGCCCCCTCCTACATTAAGACATTCCCTCAACTAAAGCCAAATAAAAGAATTAAAGTGGAGTTGAATGGTGGCTGTTTGCGAGAGTAACTACAACATATTTTCGGAAAGTGGTTCACTACTAGCATTCAATGATGGCCAATGAAGAAATATGTATAAGCCGAGTTGCTATAGGGCAACCATTATTATAACATGTCATTTGGACCCTCTTAACCTTTTGCTCTTGTCAATAATTCTTGTGTCGGGATCAAGATTGATTCCACTTTCGGTAAAAAGGATGCAAATGGCTTGAGCTACGTACCCAGAAGAATTTTTCACACATAGATCTTGTTTGTATGTCACTCTCTAAAGCCACTTCATAAGGCATTAGGTGATGTGAGTAGTTCTAATTTTCTCGAAAAAGGTGGTTATAAACCTTATTAATGGTATTTATTTACAAAGGGTTTCCCACAGCAAGATGAGCAGTGTCAAGATCGAATGGAATTTAACTTAAACATTTTTCAAAAACATATTCCTATC